AAAGAAATATCAAGATGAAAGTAATGAGCTGAAAATACAGATGTAACTAGGGTCTGTTCTAGGGTTTAGGGGCAAAGTCTGTTTCTTCTATCCTCAGAAAAAGGGTCCATTACTCATAGGAAAATAGGTTTTGTATGGAGCACCTGAATACTGGTATCTATGGGTCATTAGCGATCATTACACTAGAGAGAGGCTGAATGGAGCTATTTTACCAGGCACAATACAGAATCCATCAGGCCCCTTTGAATCAGAGAAAAAAGCATGTCTCAAGTGAATGCACAGAATGGTACTGTGAATGAGGCAAGTGAAGATATCGAGGCCAAGAGGCCATGGATTATGGCAAACAGACTGATATGCTTTGACTTAAAAAAAAAATAAAAAAAATAGGGGAAATAAGACTTTTAATAATTGCAATATGAATGAAACATGAATGAACATGCTTCCATGAGGATAAATAGGCCTGTATTTAATGGGTTCTGTTTTTAGACACATTTTAATAGCAATCTCTTATTTAGGTAGATTTACTGTATATGTTTGGTTTTAAAGGTAAGAGGGATAGGTGGCTTATTCAGGCATATTCATATTCACAAAACCACTATAATCAAAGGTTATATTGATATCTCCATTGTTTTTAATTATTTATTTATTTATTTATGTGATGACACCTTTGTGTGCTTGCATGGATGAATGGGAAATAGTGTAAAGTGCTTTCAGTGCACACCATTGCATAGAAAAGTATGATATAAGACCATGTATATACTCAGTATAAAGTTGGATATCTACTTTGATTATGCAAAATAAATATATGATATGTGACAAGTACTATTTACAGTTGGGGTGAACTCATGTCAAGTCATTTTTTAGGGGACAAGCATGTTCAAATGAGACAAACAAATGAAAAATGTTGCAGCTACAGTGCATTCATTATTTTACAGCGCTAGAAGCTACTATACTGTATATAGTATCAGAGGCAGAATGTAAAATGAGACTAGACTCAGCGAGTGCGAGATTACTTGTTCTTCCATTTCATTTCTTTTATATTATAGTTTTTCCTTCAGTCTACTGAAACAAAAGCACACCTGCCATTATCAGTTCCATTTTGTACAGTTTGTGATCTCATTATCTGTCTTTAGGTGGCTTTATGCTGTAAATAGCAGAACAGTAGAAATGTGTCTTCCATATATCCTGAGAGCACAACAAACAGAACCTGTTAGTAGTTGTTCCACAGAAGCTTTGATCACATTTCTCTCTGTATTTGCCAAAGACAAAAAAGGAAAGCAAGAGAGAGAGGCAGACTAACTGACGGAAAGATAGTGGAAAGGCCTGTCAATGCTAAATTTTGGAGAAAAAAAAAAACCCTAAATACAGCCTGAGGTTTTTGTTGGTGACATTGAGGGGAAAGTTGGAAAAAAAGCACCAACTAATGTTTGGATTCTGTTGATTAAAATGCATTTACTATTAGCCTAATCTTTAAATATATAAAAGAATGAATGGCATTAGAAGATGACATAAATAGTCTTTATACTTGTAAACTTTTAATTAGGTTTTACAGACAGATTTGACTTGGACTCACCGATAATGAGTCTTGATCAGTAGAGTCCTTCTAAATTGTTGCTCTTAGTGTGTTCAGAGTTCCTATGTTAAATTTCCTAATTTGTGACAGTTTATGCATGACAGGAAGGCTTGCACCATTAGCAAATAAGTAACATGAGGCAGACTGCTAACAGTCTGCTAAGCTCAAGCCTCTTGAGGCAAACGTGATTTGTGATATTGACCTATACAAATAAACAGATCTTCACTCATTCTTACATAATGTAAGAATGAGTGAAGAATGAGTGATCACATTACACCTCATAATGTGATCTTCACTCATATCTTCACTAAAATTGGAGATCTGATATTGTCACAGCAGGTATGAGGTACTTTGAAAAAACCTCAATATTCAAGGTCAAAGGTCAAAGTGTTTATTTCTCATGTGCACAGTTAGGAAACGTGTTTCCCTGTACAATGAAATTCTTACTTTGCCGTCCACATGAATGCCACAAAATACAAATGAAATATAAAGTAGATAAATAAGAAACACTAAATCTAAGGCACCTTAAGCAGCAAATGCAGCAATATAATAAAAAAATATAAAAATATAATAAGAGAATGTATGCTGCATGGGAGCAGCATGTGCAGCAGTCAACAGTCAATGTGCAAACTGAGAATGTAAACAGTACAGGTCGACAGTACATCACGTATTTCCTGGTAACAAACTTCTCAGCTCTTTAGGAGTCTGATGGCAGAGGGAAAGAAAGAGTTTTTCAGTCTGGAGGTCCTGCATTTCACACTTATAATATTAAGCTGAAAAAAAAACTTTTTTTTTTCAGCTTAATATTGAAACTTGAAAAAAAAAAACTTTGTTTTTTCAGCATACTACAACCTGGATGACTGAGAATTTGCACAGACACCTCAATATTAAATTAATTCAGGGAAAAATCATTCAGTCCCGTCATGGGTTGAGGAAGAAGCTGAGGACAATGAGAAATATAAATAGCATTCACAGAGTGTCATTTGAACAATGGAATCGAAATAGGCAAAGATGCAGATTTTCTACTACAACCTGAAGGTATTATTACTGATCTTTTCTAAGAAGAACTTTATTTTTATGCCAGTGAGACTTTGAAAGTGAAACTGTGTTTATTTCAGCTTTCCTGCATTTCACACATTTATACTGTATTGATTTACATGAGAAAGGTTTATATCTGCTGCAGTGCCTATAAAAAGTATTAACCCCCTTGGATGTTTTACCATTTTATTGATTTTATAAATCAATCATAGTCACTATAAACTGGCTTTGACAAAAAGAAAACAAAAAACAAAATACAAAAAACCCTTTTTAATGTCAAAGTGAAAACAGGTTTCTACAAAGTAATGTCAATTAAATAAAAACAAGTAATGGGAAATAAGTGACTGCATAAATATTCACCCTCTTCAAGTCAGATTGGCTGCAGTCACAGCACTGAGTCTGTGTGGATAGGTCTCAATCAGGCTTGCACATTTTCTTTTATTTTGCTGCATGCACTTTACCCTCTATCTTTACAAGCCTTCCAGGGCTGGCTGCCGAGAAGCATCCCCACAGCATGATGCTGCCACCATCGTGCTTCACAGTGGGGATGGTGTGTTTGTGGTGATGTGCAGTGTTTGGTGTCCACCAAACATAGCATCATGTCTGATGGCCAAAAAGCACTATTTTGGTCTCATCAGACCAAAGAACTTTCTTCCACTTGACCATGGAGTCTCCCACATGCCTTTTGGTGAACTCTAATCGAGATTTAATACGAATGTTGTTCAACAGTGACTTTCTCTTCTTCGCTCTCCCATAAAGCTTTGACTGGTGAAGAACCCCGGCAACAGTTGTTGTATGCAGACTCTCTCCCATCTCAGCTGCTGACGCTTGTAACTCCTTCAGAGTGGTCATAGGTGTCTTGGTGGCCTCTCTCACGGTCACTCAGTTTGTTAGGATGGCCTGATCTAGGCAGATTTAGACATGTGCCATATTCCTTCTATTTCTTGATAATGGATTTAACTGAACTCCGGGGATGTTCAATGCTTTGGAAATTATTTTGTATCCATCCCCTGACTTATACTTTTCAATAGTCTTTTCTCTGAGCTGCTTGGGGCATTCTTTTATCTTCATGGTGTAATGGTAGCCAGGAACACTGATTAACCAGTGACTGGACCTTCCAGACACAGGTGTCTTTATACTACAGTCACTTGAGACACATTCACTGCACTCAGGTGATCCCCATTTCAGTAATTGTGAGACTACTAGCATCAGTTGGCTGGACCTCTGTTGAAGTAGATCAGTCATTTTAAAGGGGGGGAATATTTATGCACTTATTTCCCATTACATATTTTTATTGAATTGACATTACAATATAGAAACCTGTTTTCACTTTGACATTAAAGAGGTTTTTTTTTGTCAAAAAAGCCAAATTATATTGACCATGATTGATTTATAAAATTAATAAAAGGGTAAAACATCCAAGGGGGTTAATACTTTTTATAAGCACTGTACCTTTGCAGCTATGTCAGAGAGGAGCCAGCTAAAAAGACTTTAGACACTGATACACAAAGTTCTGATTTTTAACACCAGTCTCCTTGCTTGAATAGGTATTTGCAATTTTGTACGGTGCAAACCAAGTGTCCTCTTTACAAGTAGATATCAGCAGGAGGATGCTAGCATGAGGCTGGTTCTTTCTTCCCTATGGACTTTGTGTGCATCATTCAGTAAAGTTGGAGTAATAAACACACCAGGTTGCAACAGTGACGCTTGTATAGACAGACGTTGTGTGATGTGGTAGTGGCAACTGGATTTCTTACCCAGACACATGACAAATCTGGTCCCCAGGTTGATGCGGCTGCGCATGTGACGTGTGCATCAGTGTCTGCAGATTGTTATAACAGGATCAGTGCTGCCCTGCTTGTCTATTTTTATATAATATCCCTCAGGAACAAAGAGCCAGCTTTGACAATATTATAAACTATAGCCTGTGCCCAAGTGTGGCTACTATTCAATGATCTATGAAGATGGGTCTGAGAAAGTCAATGATGACATGGGGGCAGTCAAGAAAGGGTAAAAGGGGTGTTCAGTGAGGACACTCTGGTTCCTTGCTTTTAATCAGAGTAACATTTTTAGCAGGGACTAACCCTACAATGACTCAAACTCTCTCCTGTGCCATATTCTACTTCCCTGCACCCTGCTGTAAATCTGAAAGGTAATAGACAAGATACAGCCAAACCAATCAATGATCCACCAGTGCCCCCATGAGAAAGCATAAGGAATTACAATACATCAGATGAGCCTCTGTGCTCCTTGGTGTCTGTGGTGAAATGAAAGGGTCTCAGTTAAATAAGGAATCTCATTTCTCAAGTTGTAAAATCATAGTACAACAAACACACTAAACTGGAAATAAGTTTTAAAATGTTTATTTAAAAAAATAGAAAAACTTGCATAAAAAAACAAGGTCTACATCTACACGTCAGTCAAACATCAGAGCCAATCTTACGGTACACAGATATTAGCTGGGGACTTGGTTTGTGGCAGAACAGATATGACAATATATCCATTATCCTCTAGATGAGCCAAATGTAAAGCAGCACAGAACACAAGGGGACAATGCTAACAGTATTGTGTTGAGTCCATTGGTACACAGGGTGTTCCAATAATCACAGGCTTTTGAAACACGACTTCACCAAATTTACTTTTGTTAATGGCTCTACCAAAACTCGTGTAAAGGTCAGTCTGCGACACCCCAAGCTCAGGTCCTGTAATAGGTGGCAATGAATATTGTAATTTATGCATCTTGTTTTTATAATATGACTTTAAATAAGGAGAGGAAAATGTCAGAAATGCAATGACCTCTTATACAACTTATAATTGCCACCTTTGGATCAGTAAGAGACATGATGTTAATGGTAATCATTGACTGCAATAGGAGTCTGCTACTGGAGCCTACACCTAGAAGCTGTTTGTAAAAAAGCCAAGTAACCTTGGTAGTGCAAACACAGAAAGCTGGCTATGTACAGGGAAAAGGGCAACTTCTGTCATTTAAGAAGGCAGTTAGCCTGTAGCTTTAACAGAATTGAAGGAGATATAAGGCAGAAAACAAACACTTTGCTGGTAAAAAAAAATAGCACCCACTATTTTTGACTTGATGCACAGTAAACACTGCTACGACAATGAGTGATATGGTTAAAATGAGAACTAGCGGTGAAAACATTTGGACAACATTCAACTGATCATAATGTGATGGTAAATCAAGTAAAATGTTGTCATCATGGGATTTTTGGCACATTTCTTACATTGCTATAGTATAGCTTCCCCTTCTGCTAGAAAGCTGTACACATTCCTTCAAGGTCCTTAAATCCATCTATTGCACAGTATGGTCATAAAACAGTCTACAAATCAAAATCAGTGAACTTTTAGTGGGGATAACCACTACAATAAAAATGAATGTGAAATAAATTAAATAAAAGCAAGTTTTGTTGCACATAAATGCACCACACTTAAAAGGTGGCAATGCTTACAGTATAAAAACAAAAAAGTGCCAATGTGAACAAAAAAAAATTATCCCACAGTGACAATAACAAAAGAGAATGACATAAAAAAAGAAGTACATTCAAACAAGTCATCACAGTTTAAGCACTTCAGACAAGGTCCATTTTGTGCCCTCACACCAAAAACATTGCACTGCATAGGTAGAAACGTAGAGCTTCGCTTCAGTCCAGAGTATAATTTCTAGATGGTAAAAGCTGTATAAGCTCTGAATCAAGAGCGGAGCTAGTAGGGAGTTGCATTCAGAAGTTCAGATGGGCCTAAAACCTGATGGAAAAGGCCCAGTAAGAGACAAAACATTGAAATCCCAAGTTTGATAAACCAATTCAGTACTATGGCACATGACGCTCTAAGATGCATGGAAACTCAATACAAGACCAAACTCTTTGGCCAACCAGCCACAGTTTTTAGCTGCTGGGAAGTTAACACTGGTGAGAAGAATCAGGAAGTCCTTAAAAGTGTGTGCTGGTGTGCATCAAATTTACAGTAAGGGCTTGAACTACTATCAGACTGATGCAACAACATGAGCACAGTTAGGCCTTTTACCGTCTTCCTTCACCCGCAGTAGCCTTGTAGCATCACTGCATAATGCCTTCAGTGATTAATTATTGGAGACCTCGAGAGACACAATGGGAGACGACTTGACTCGGGAATTTCAGCACAATGTAAGGTGAACCTCCAGCAACAACAGGTGCATCGTGAACCATTCACAGCTTTTAAACACAAAGACTCACAGTGGGCTGAGTGAGCCCTTCAACACGACTGAGGTCAAATCCAGCCTTCTTTCATCTGCTCTGGTTAAGAGCAGGACCACTGTCCCTCTTTCTGCGTCGCCAGGGGTTCCGGTTGTACTGCTGCTGGTTCCTGAAAGCCGGTGCCATGTTGTGAACCTGGGGAACAAACCGCCGCTGTGGACTGAAATGACCTTCAGAGTAGGTTTGACCTCGGATGCTGCCACCTTGGCTGTGCTTGAAGCTAAATTTGTGCGGTTCAATGAAGCCATAGGAATTGGATCTCATAGAATAAGTGTGGCTCTGCTGCCCTCCGACCTGAGGGTGGTGGAGATGATGGAGGGGGCTGGGTAGAGGGCTTGTGGAGTTAGTGTGCTGTGTGACATGTCCTGATGTGTGACGGTGCACAACAGCGATGCAGGGGAGATTCTTGTGGTAGAACTGGCAATCAGGGAGGTTTTCTGTAAAAGACATTTGGACCTAGGGGGAAAAAAGATGCATCAAAGTGTAATGAGAATCTTGCCACAAGTGAGCTTTGGTACCGTTTAGAGACTAGGCAGGAAAAACTACAAATTATTCCAAATTATTTTATGGCTCCTTCACAGATGAAACATACACATCATCTAAATGATTTTTTTGTGCTCTTCGTGGTTAAGTTTCTCTGTGACATTGAAAACAAAACAAGACTAACCTGAGGTGTATGGCCTTCCTGCTGAATGTGTGGTCCTCAGGTCAGTAGCCATTGGGATTACTGAGTAACCTGAGGCCAGAGGGAAGGGGTGGAGCTGGATAGCAGTATTACTGTTCAGGGGAGAATCAGACTCCTAGAAAAACACATACACAGATTAATAAAGTTGCACAACAGGGACTATGGACAGGTTATGGCAGAGGGTCTCATCATTGCTATAGTCATATTATTTGGGTTGATGATCTTTTTCCAGGGTTTCCATAATCACAGGAAGGTTTTTGTGGAGAGCCCAAGTTGAATGAATGTATAAACCACGGTGAGTTATTGGCGCTAAAAAAAAAAAAAAATAAAATAAAAAAATAAAATAACAGAGGTAACTTGATCTGAAAATGAAACGTAAGCTGGCAACAGGAATGACCTGTCAATCACCAATCACTGATGGATGACAGCTGACTGAATATTTCTCTGTACTGTCAACTCAGGATTAATCACCTGAATGACCAACAAGTAACTGTTTTTCCTTTCTCAATTAAAAAAAAACAAAAAACCCACCCCCTCCCACTGACACACACAAAAGTGCCTAAGCCCAAAAACCCAGTTTTTGAGGCATCACCATTTTATTACAGCAGAGGTTGGAAACTACATATTACCATACTGGTTGTGAACCAGTGCTTTACTGATTTCATAATTGTTTGATTAATTGACAAAAAAATGCTGTGGCCTTACTATGTCACTCCCAGAGGAGGAGGAGGAGGAGGGTGAGCTTGCCGGGGATGATGATGAACGGTGTTGAGGGCTGGGAAGGAAAACTGGAGATGGCGAGGGGGAGTCTACACTGAGTGGGGAAGAGGCGTCTCTCTGATCCTCCACAGAAACCAACATCAGACGGGCGAGATCCTGCTCACAGATCTCTACATCTAGGACCAAACAGAATATTACTACAGAAAAATGGGAATTGAATTAGCAGTGTCAGTTGAGTATATGCACTATATAGTTTACACTTAAGATGAAAAATCCTTTTGTTACACTGCATCAATGCAAACTTAAAGCTGCCACAAAGTTACCATGGTTTTCCAGCTTGGCATATTGCTTAGCTCCCCACTTCTTGATTGTCCAGTCCCTGTAAACCAACACCTCTGGGCTGACTTTGATGATTCGCCCTAAAGTACTGTAACAAAGAGTCCATTATGATAAGAGCAAACACTAGTGCTGCAAAACACATCTTAAGTTTAAGGAAAAATAAACAAGCAATTAATGAAGAAACCAGCCTGTCACACTCTTTGTTGGGGTAGGCACGTGCGAGAGGAGATACACCATGACTCAGCACCATGTAGGCAAAGTCAAAAATCTGCTTGACTTGCAGGATGCCATATGAACTCCTGCCCACGTCATTTCCTGTGAAGATCAAAGTGAGGAAAAACAAAAAATAAATTAAAAAAAAAATCATTAGGGAAAATTTGACTCAGATTTAATGTCAAATTTCCCCCATGTAAATGCACTGATGGTGGCCGATCATAAAGGTCTGCTACTACTGTACACTGCTGACACATCCATATCCTACATACAGTATGGACGTGTGAACTGATCATGTAGCTCTCTGTTTAGTCATTTCAAATTCCACTCTGACCTGGCTGTACTGGGTCTTCTATGCAGAGCATGGATGGCCTGTTTCCACTCCCCATGGCTTTGAGTGTTTCTTCTTTGAGCAGGTAAGCCCCTCCATTCTTCACCCGGATGCCCGTTTTCATGTAGTTGAAATCGCGGCCGTACAGCTCAAAGAACTCTATCAGCAGGATGCCCAAGTTTATGTTGGCACGGCGTGTGTCGATCCGAGGGTGCAACTGTTATCAGGAAGAGAACTCGTTAAAAAAAATCCAGCCAGCCAAACTAAATCATTGACAGCACAGTAGGAAATGTATTAATCTCGATTCTTCTCCAATTGCTGCCACATGGACCACGGAAAAGTAGCCCGCCTCCAAAACAATCCCCTTGCTCGGGGCTACTTTTCCGTGGCCCACCCCGTATAATCAGTTGATCAAGCATAAAAACCTGTAGGCAGTTTTCATGAGATTTGCCTTTTTTCCCCCACTAATCTGTTTTTCAATATGTAAACTCTATATAACAGCGTAGAAACGAATCGTTCATTGCACTTTACACTTTACACTATGCTCATTCAGCAAAACAAAGCAATCAAAACACTAATCTAGGCCTGAACGCTTGTTCTGTGATTTAACAGATTGCAACTTTCAAATGGTAAAAGCTGCATTTTAAACAATCTTGAGCGCCATCCACACACACACACACACAGCCACAGCCCTCCTCCACAGGCTTCACATGAAAATTGCAGAGTAAAGAAAGACACCAAGAGACAACACATGCCAAAACGAAACAGTATGTCAGTCCTCTGGTCTAAAATTAAGAACAGGTAACGTACTGCCACCTGTCCCTTATAACATGGGATTGTCTCCTATGATGTCCTGTATTGAAGCAATGATGGATGCAGTTTGCCATTTTTAATGCTTAAGTTTGTTGTCCACAGTAGTGAAAACATCATAATACTAGGTAAAACTAACCCAGTTTAGAAAAGCAGTCAGATCAGAGAGATAAACACAGACTGTCATCTTCAGGCACGAGGAGCTGCACAGCCTGCTGATATCTCCCTCTGCTCCCTCCCCACACTTTAGACTATTTTTATTAAACACTGAAGCAGCAGCAGTGACTGTTGTTGACTCATTTTACATGAACAGTAAAAAATTTTGTAAAAAACTGGCAGAGGTATGGCAGAGAAAAAAAATAATATTAAACACTTCAAATAGTTCAGTGCACCTAGCAGCAGTAACTGCAGACAACAGAGGACCACAGGTCCCAGTGAGTCCAGTCTAAACACACCAGTCAGGTTTTACTGCATTAAGAGACAGGTGATACAGCTTAGTTTTCTGCTCTGGTTTAATAAGAAATTTTTATACACTACTCAAATTCTATGATGAGCTCAGATTCGTATCATTTTATGAGTGAAGGTAAAAAAGAAAATATGCCCGTTCTGCATCTAATGCTGCACCAACCAGTTTGGATTGCTTTTTCCAGGTGTAAACACCGAGCCACAAAATGTGCAACACCAATCAGAACTACAGAATGCTATAAACACAGTGCCTATGCACTCTGCAACGAATGGATCCTAACCAAGCATAAACTGGAAGACACTGGGCAGTACTGGAGGTCAAACACACAGAGAAAGAGGAGGAAGACCAAGATCATGGGCACAACAACCAAGAGAGTGTTTGTTCATAATGTTCTAGTACATGGGATGGCCGTGTGGTTATGGCTCCATCTATTGTCCACACATTCATGAGAGAAAACGGCTACTTTATACCGATATTATGTACTATAATGCATGTACACGTACAGACTGCATCTATACTTGGACCTTATGTTCTCACTATGGCTTTCACAGTTATGTAATGTACACGAGTACCTGCAGGAAGCTGATGGCCATTAGTATAAGGCTATAAGAGCTGATGCCTCCGGTGAAGACTTCATTCAGATCCCTCTGGAGTAGGAACTGCTTCAGGACGAAGATCAGAGGCGGAAGAACAGTGTATTTCTATAAAACACAGAGATGAGAAACAGCCCAAAAGTAAAGGTGCCATTTGTGTTGAAAATGTCAAACCTACACACCTTTAGGTAGCTTTTGATGAACTGCGCTGCTTTCACAGCCGTCTCCACATTGAAGCTGATGTCCACTTTCACCTCTGTTTCATAGTCAGTAAGTTTGATGATTGGCACCTGGGGACAGGTCAAAACATCAATCTGAATACATCTGCAAGTAGCCAATCAAAACTTTGTGATTAACCTATTTCCACAGTTTAACATGTAGATGGAAAGTTAGATGCAAGTGTTTTAGCCAAAGATTAAAAAAAGACACTCATGTTGGTGACTTACTGTAGCTTTGTCGAGGACCTTGATGGGATATGGGCCAGACATATTGTGTTTCCTAAGGGCTTGTTCCAGTTCCAGGAGTGGAGGATGGTCCCACTTTCCAAACACCACCAGGTCAATATCACTAAGAACAAAACACAATGCACTTTGTACCTCAAAAAACATTAATTTCCAAGAGTTCTGTCTACACACAGTGAATAGTGATGTGCAGGTCACCAAAATACAACAACAGGACCTAGTTTTTAGGCTGTGAAACAAATTCAGGGTTTTGGGAAAGTGTGCAATCCTGTTGTGAAATCCCTATAACTACAGGGAAGAAAGGTTTCTTTGTCTCTTCAGCTGAACAAAAGGTTCTTGACCAACATGCCATTTACAGTTTCTTCTAAAGCATTGTGCAATTATGCATACACCAGTATACTGATGAATTATTACAGAAAGAGGCAGTCATTTCAGGAAATGAGTGCATGAAGAAGTTATTTAAAGACCAAGTCCTAGTTTATAAATGATATAATCAGGGGCAGCACGGTGGCGCAGTGGTTAGCACCGTTGCCTCACAGCGAGAAGGTTCTGGACCTTTCTGTGTGGAGTTTGCATGTTCTCCCCGTGCTTGCGTGGGTTCTCTCCGGGTACTCCGGCTTCCTCCCACAGTCCAAAGACA